ATATATTCTGCATCTCGAAGAAAAAAAGGCCGGAAAGGCACATCAGCCCATCATTCCCCAGACTGCCCGGCACACGGCAAAGCCTATGGCCAAAGGTAGAACCAGCACCTGCTGGGGATATTGCTGTTCGCCCACGAAACGGCCTGGGCCAGAGTTCCTGGGAACATCTGGGCGAGGTGAAGCACATTGGCACGAGCATTTTCAGGAATGTCCATAATAAAAGTAGAGCTCGACACCTCTTGAAGATATATCTCCATGACCTTATGCGAAGCCCATCTGCCACGGCGTCGAACCAGTTCTGAATCCTCAGTTTGTTGTAAAAGGTGGGAAGCCCCACCAGGGCGGAGGGACCCCAAATCAAGCGAACGACCATGTTCGCCTGATTTAGGAATCCCCAAGCGATCCAGGATATTGTCCAGACGCCTTCGAAGTGTCTGGTTGGTAAAAGGCCAAAGCCTGGAGGACTTCGGCAACTTTAAGAAAGCCAGGGCCACAACGGAGACGAGGTCACTGGGTTCCAGCTTCGCAGCCTGGTGCTTCGCAGCCCTGCCTCGGGTCTTTGGCTGAGCAATGCGCACCAGGATAAATGACTGCATGAAGAGGGCATCGGCCGGAAACACCAGATTTCCTCGGCATGCTTGCTTCAGAGATCCTCAGAAGAGCCCCCCAAGCCAGTGCAAAAATGCCAGCCTCCCGGGTCCAGCCCCAAGCGAGGCACGTCGTAAGAATAGCCATCAATATGAGAGGGGGCATTGCAATGTGGTGCGATGACGGCTCTTCAGAAAGCCAAGTAAAGGCGAGGTCCCATGCAGCTTGGCAGGATCTCCGGATCGCAGGCTTCTTAGCAGTCAGGCCATTTATCGTCTCAGAAAAGTGCCAGTAGGGCCGACCGCTGTTGTAGAGGTCCCTGCCGTAGAGGACGAGGACCTCAACGAACCCTTCAGTGTCAAAAGGCTTGTCTCCTAAAACATCGTCCAGAGACCGTCCCAGCATCTCGGAGAGCCATTGCGAGAACCCTGAAAGGAGAACGACCCTCCTAGAGGAGGTGGCGGCAAGAACCGGACGGCCCGGAGGGAGAGGACGAAGGCGACGGTCAAGGCGGCGGAAGTCATCAAGGTTCCGGGGAATGAGCGTCCCGGAGCAAATCCACACAAGGAGAAAACAGGCGGCCAAGCGAAGAGGCGGGCCTTCACCAGGAAAACCAAGAGTCGAATCGAAGTTCCGGTGGGAAAGCGGCACGTAAGGAGAAACTTCAGGCAAAGCCGCAAACCTAGAGCCTGAAGGGAAGTTCCCAAGGGCGAGGACAAGGCCCGAGGGATGGTCAAAAGCGACTGTAAAGAGGGCGAGGGCAAGTCGAACCCAGTTTGCCCGAGGCTTGGAGAGGTCCCTAAGGCTGCTGAGGGCTCTGAGCTCCTCGCGGGAAAGGCCAGCACTAAGGTCAACACCAGAGGGGCTGCGAAGCGGGACGTCGCGCGTTGGATCGTCCGGGGGATTCCACCTCGTAGGGCCGAAGGCAACGCTGGGGTAAAGGCCCCCCACTATGACCGTAGTGATTGCCTGTTTCAAAGAAGCGCGGAGGAGGCGGGCCGAGGAGCGCCCTTTCCGGTGAGAGCCCTCAACCACAGCAGAGTCGGTGATCAAGGAGGATCGCCGGTCGCGTCCTTCGAGGGTAACTCTCTTGTAGAGAGAGAGAGAGAGAGAGGAGAGAGAGAGAAGAGAGAGAGAAG